GTATTTTATGAAAGAATCGAATTTCTCTTGGGAATTTAAATTAGTATCTAAAGATTTAAATAAAAAAAAAAATAATAAAAAAAATTTTTTTAATTTTTTTTAAATTTTTTTTTAATAGAAAACTCGTAAATTTTTTGTTTGTTACTCGCAAATATCCGGCGAGCTTCTCTGCGGCTTTAACGCATTTTTGTGTTGTTACTCCTTCCCAAAGAAAAAGCGAAAACAAAAAGTCCTCGAACACGTGTTAGCTTATTTCATGTATAGAACCCACAAAAACAAATTTGAAGCGAATCGTAGAAAAGACATATTTTTTTTACGAAATCCGTCCGACTTAAAAACAATGGCTCAATTACTCTCTTCGAGATGTAATCTAATTTTTCCAGTAGGCTTAAATTGTAGTTAAGGCTTGGTGTAAATGAACTATTATAGGGTTTACGGGATTTTCTATATTTATGACGTATTTTCATATTTTCGAATTTTTTTCGGGCTTATTTCAGATGTTTTCCGGGTTTTTGGTTATTTTCGCGGTTTTTTTTTTGGACCATATGTAATTTCCGCTTTAATATCATGGTCTTATTGACGATTTTATATTTTAATTTATTAAAGTTCCAGAAGCATTCTGGTATAAGAAACTAAACAAAATGGATAGCCCTAGTGCGTTTTGTAGTTTAGAACTGTTTGAAAACCTTATGGCGCACCTCAAATTAAATTAAACGATAGAATTCAACGAATTTTAATACAAATTTACTGAATTTTTAGACTTTTGAATTCGTCTTTTGCAGCCAGCCACTAAGGTAAACACATTTGAAAGTAATCAATTGAAATGTGTGCGAATTTAATTACAGTTTCCTCTTACACTTTCAAAAGAATTTTAATAAGGTACTTAAATTTTTATAAAGTTTACAAAGTAGCGAAAAACATATACTTTAGCTGCACCATAACGTACGACGACAATTATTATTTGTGCAGTTTTCTTTAGTTTGTTGATTGATTTGTTTCTTGTTTAGATGAATAAATATGTATGTATGTAAGTAAGTAAAGCCGACCATAATACTGCTCAATGACGCATTTTCGCTTTAAATATTTCTAATACGTGAATTTCATAGAACGCCGCCAAAGCTTATGTGTAGTTCACTTTCATTTCTAAGGAAATTTTCAATAAAATGTATTGCAGGCGTAAGTGTGATTCGAGTTGGCGGTCCAAACAATTAGACAACTCATGCGAATTCCAAATGTTAACTGACTCATAGCATCATGGGATTTTCGTATTGAAATTTGAATTTCAAATACATATTTGAGTCTGTAATGATGAATTGTGAAATTAATTAATTTTATTGAAACCAACTTACGAATGGCATTGAATGTGCATTAAACTCAAAAGATTACACAAATGTATTTATGTACATAAATATTCGTGAGTTTCAGTGTATAGTCACTTTATTTGGGCATTGAAAATTGCAGACATTTGTGTATCCGGGGAACTAATCAACGTTTTCTGCTCGTATATAGTTCGCCAAAAAAAAAAAAAAGGGAATTTTTTGCGACCTAAAACTGTGTTTTAATGCACTACAAAAGTGCATACTCAAAATTTTTCTAAGAAATCAAATGAAAAAATTTTAAATTTCGATGAAAATTTTTGTGTGAAATTAAAAAATATTGATTCTTGTGGTTTCTGCTGTTGAATAAACTATATTAAAAAAAAAAAAAAAACAAAACAAATTTGGTATGAAAAAGATAAATAAATAAAATGATCAAAACGTTGGAGTATGCATTTTTGTATAGGAAGGGCTAAGTAGTCTAGAATGACGAATAATGCGAAACTACATCGAATTCAAAACTCGGTAAGTCTCTGAAATAGACATCAGTACTAATATTTTGGTGCCCTTTATATAACAAAAATTTAAAATTTTTCAAACTGTAGCTAAATAGTTATGAAAGTACTAACTTTCAATAAAAAAAACAATGCCTAAAAAAATAACATTTATAAAAAAAAAAAATTCCGCCCCCGGGTGGGCTCGAACCACCAACCTTTCGGTTAACAGCCGAACGCGCTAGCCAATTGCGCCACGGAGGCACTTGGCAACCTGCTGTGCTAAGGGCATATTCTAAAAAGCGAACGTGACAGTAATCGTCCCTAAGCTAATGGCTATCAGCGAGTGAGTGCGAGTTAATAAAAAGCGCACAAATGTACATACATACATAAAGCAACGACAGCAGTTTTTATTGTTGTTTGTCTCTTTCTTTGCCTCTTTGTTTTTAGGCGCTCGTAAAGACGGAAAAAAAACACTTGTTGGGGCGTAAAAATTGGTGCGCTTTTGATAGCACAACTGAAATGTTGTTATAAATGTTGTGCGAAGTGTTTGTTGTTCTTTGGTATGGAAACCTTATCAATAATATCAACCACCAAAAAAACAGGCGATAGCAAGTGGTGGAATAACAGGAGCACAGCATATGGGGAAAAAATCAGTAAGTAGAAAATGATAATGAGTTATAAAAAAGTACATATTTAATATTTGCTGTCATAACTGTTGATAAGCAACCAAGCAGGCAAAACAGATGGAATTTTGGTGAGTGTGCGTTGCGTTATCGCTGTTGACATTTTTATTTGTGCATACATATGTATGTATGTATGTATGTATGCACATTAGGGCGGGTCATATTTATTTTTATTTTTTTTGACTCGCTAATATGGCATGCGAGCATTCTATGTAAAATTCTAAGCAAATTTGGCGAAAAAACCATGGGTGTAAAATCAGATTCGGGCTTGCCAAGTTGCGAATATAGTATTTTTTTCTTGTTACTGTTTTATTTTGCTGTAAAGAAATTTATTTATTTTATAATAACATGCTGTACAGTTTATTTGAAAGAGGAATCCGTTTATGGACTTATCATTTTCTTAAAACACCTGCCAAAGGAGGCTGCAGGGAAATAATTTAACATTTTCTTACGTTTTCAAAAAAAAAAACCCTATATTTTACTCTTGTTCCATACTTTTCGTTGTATCATTGTATTGCGCCGTGTCATTGATAAAAACCAAGACAGACTTATGGCAAGAAAATTGGAAGTATGTATATCGAAAGTGCCCCGCATGGAAATTAAGCGAGATTTGCGTAAATTGGCTATAACTAGGAGTGTAACTAGGAGTTCGACGTTTTTCTAGTTTTTTAAGAGCGTTGGAAAGGTTTTCAAACTTAGCACGTCGCTGTGCATTGCAACTAAAACGTGACTAAATATTTGTATATCTTTGAAGGTCTTTGGCAGTACTTTTAATTTACCCGCTACATTCCAGTTTGCGATAAATTTCTACAATTCGATAACTCGACAAAGTCGATAAATTTCAATAATCGTGCGTTACGAGGGCTCTGTAAATTTCGATAACTCAAAAATGTATACATCTCGAAACAAATCAATAACTCGATAAACTTTGAATACCTTTGTAAATTTCAATAACTCGGTAAATTTTGATAGATCTACATATATTTCTCGAATGCTATCGAAGAATTTCGATAAATCGTTACACTCTGGTAGCACGATAAAATTAAATAAGTAGTCATAACTCGATAAATTTATATCGATGTATTTTGAAAATCTCAGAAAAAACTTCATTTCGACAAATTTCAGTAAATCAGAAGTATCGATAATTTGATAAGTTGCAAGTACTAGATGCATTACGACAACTCGAAAAATTTCGTTAACTCTATAAACAATGATAATTCAATAAATTTCGACAACGTGATATATTTCAATAACTTGACAAATTCCGATATTCGCATAAATTTTTAATGCTCGATAACTATCCGTAAATGTCGACCACAAAGTTTCGGTGTCTATATATTTCGACAACTCGATAAACAGCGATCAATTTGAATAGTTCGATACGTTGCGATTGCACAATAAACATGGTCAGCTCGATAAATCTAGATAACCATAAACTTCAATGACTTGTTACATTTCGATTACTTCGGTAAAGTTGTCTTTCGGTAGCTAAATTTTTTTTGACTGAATTTATTTCGATTCTTATCGAAAAATGTCAATACATTTTCTTGCCCTTTTAGTTACCGTAATTTTTTTGTTACGTTTTCGTTTTTGTCTTCAATTTTGCCTTCACTTTTTTTTTGTCTTAATCTGGGTTTTTTATCATTTATTTCTACAACACCACATTAATTTTTATTACAAAGTTTAATTTCAAATACGAAGTAAAACAAAATGTGAAAACAACGTAAGTTGAAAAGGCTGCTACACAAACTATACACAAATACGGAAGTTTTTAAACGACGATTTTGGCCGTAATTTTTTTCAACGTATTTTCTTTAAAAACGCAAGAAAAAGTAAAAATTTGCCGGCATTGCACCCTCTGGCGGATGCTTTAAGAAAAAGATAAGTCCAGAAACGGATTCCTCATACGAAAAACCCCAGTATGTTTTAATCTAAAAAAATTTAAAGTCTGTATGACACTACTACAAATAAAAACGCTATCAAAAAAACATATTTTCGCAATTAGGAAAAGTTCGAAAAAATATTTTAGACCTATGGGTTTTTCGGCAAATTTGCTTAGAACTTCACGTATAATACTCCTACGCCATACCCGCATTGTCAAGAAAAAAAAATCTCCCATATAAATTGACCCGATCTAATGTATGTTTTTTTTTTGTTTTGAAAAAAATGTATATGTCGCCGCTGCATTTTGTTGCTGCCAGCAAGGAAGCTTATCGCAGCAACGCTAACTGCGAAATGTTAATTAAAAGTTACAAAAGTATTTATGTATTATTGTTATGAAAAGAAAAGAACAAAAAAAAAACAAATTGCACCAAATTGATGGACAAGTGCAAATGTCTAGCAGCAACAACAACAATAAAAGCAATAATGATAAGCCTACTGCAAAATTTACTACCACAACTACAACTGCGCATACATAACGCCTTCAAAACAGTATGAAAACAAATACAATACAATCGTACAAGCGATAAGCGGGGTGCTGTCATTTAGTAGATGGCTGGTACTTACCTAACAAAATCTTTGACAAAACAATAAACAGTAAATAGGCCGCGATCGCTGAGCACAACATCGGGCTTTAAGACAGGCATATAACAAACATAATGGCTGCCCGAGCCCGAAGGATTGTTGCTGCTGCTGCTGCTGCTGGCAGCATGAGCATGCTGCTGTTGTTGTTGCTGCTGCTGACGCTGTAGCAATGACAATTGGTGTTGTTGTTGTTGTTGTTGCACAGCTGTTTGCGTCGCCAACGCTGCAGCTGCATAAGCGGCAACATTTTCATCAACAACAGCGGTTGGCGTGTAGTGTTGTTGTTGTTGTTGTTGTTGATGATGAATGTGCTTAGTGTGTTGTTGTGCTGTTGTTTTTGTAGTTGCATTTGCATTTGCGGCTGCNTACAAGTTTAATTAGTCGCATTTTGTAATTTTTATCTTCCAAACCATCAAATTAAATTTTGTGATTTGCGTAAATGCCAACCAGCTGTTTTTGATCAGCTGTTTCCCTGTTGGCAAATTGCTGTTGGCAAAAATTTTTCCAACAGAAACTAACAGCTTCCCCTCAAAATGAAATGTCACTTTGCTCTCTCAATTTCCCCTACTTTGCAAGTTTTTTGCGTACGCGAACGCAAAAACCTGTAAGTTTTGGTTAAACATGAACAATTAACAGCTACGCGAACGAACCTATTGTTGGCATGCTGTTGATAAGTGTTTGNTGTTGTTTTTGTAGTTGCATTTGCATTTGCGGCTGCAGTTGCCGTTGCTGCTATGACAGCAACAGTGGCTGCGGAAGTGTTCATATTGTTGGCATGCTGTTGATAAGTGTTTGTTGTTGTTGGTGTTGTACTTATTGTTATAGCGCTTGTGGTTGACGCTCGTTGTTGTTGTTGTGTGCTCTGAGTCGTGGATTTAGTAGCAGTGTCGTCGGTGTCGTCCATCGTCGTGGACATTGTGCAGCAACATTTTTAAGGCGTGCATTTGTGTGCGTGTATTTTTGTTATATTTTTTAATTGTGTGTCGTTTAGAAAAGCACTGCAGAGTTGTATTTTTTAAGTTTCTTTTTGTTACTTTCTGTGCTTATTTTTTTGGCGTTTGTTCACAGCTTTTGCTATTTGAGTTTCTCAGTCTTAATTTAACTGTAAATTTTAGTTAAAANTCGTGGACATTGTGCAGCAACATTTTTAAGGCGTGCATTTGTGTGCGTGTGTTTTTGTTAAATTTTTTAATTTTGTGTCGTTTAGCAAAGCACTGCAGAGTTGTATTTTTTAAGTTTTTTTGTTACTGTTCTGCTTTTTCTTTAGGCGTTTGTTCACAGCTTTTGCTATTTGAGTTTCTCAGTCTTAATTTAACTGTAAATTTTAGTTAACGTTTTATATATTTTTTCATACTTACTCAAAAGCAACATTTATGCAAACAGCAATATTTTATTTTTTTTTTCAAAATTTCGCAATAATACAAAAGCCAATTGTTTTAAATAAGTTATTAAAAAAAACAAATATAATTTTAAATTTATTTTGAAAGCAAATCAAGTATGACTACAACAACAGAGTAGCAACAACACAACATGCTTTTGGTTTTTTTGTTTAACTATGTAATTAGTGTAATCTACTAAACGCATAGTGTGTATTGTGGACAAAGTAATTTTTAATAAAACTCGTGATTTATGGAATTTTCATATGTACATTAGGGTGGTACAAATTTTGCTTTAAGATTTTTCCACCGATTTTATAGCAATTCTACAAAAAAAAATGCATTTTTCCCACATAAAAGATATCGAAAGCTTTAGAGCCCGGCGGCAGTGGGAAATATTAACCGATTAAAAAAAATCTCATTTTCCATTTTCTGTAATTCTGATAGATGACAGCGAAAAAATTCCTAAAAGCTAATTTTACTGTTTATTTTTGGACCGCCCTAATGTACATACACAGGGACCGTAAGTAAAAAACATCGTTTTTATAGTACACGCTATGATTTAAATTTGCTATCAATTCCAATAAGCTCTCACATACATACGGTCTAAACCAGAGATTGGCAAAGCGGCTCCCAGGAGCCTCTTGCACTTAGGAGCCGGCTTGGCACATTTAGGTGCTAGATGAGCGGTAACATCAAGAGCCAGCATGAAGGGGGAAGATGATGCTTTTAATGTATTTTTTAATTGATCTACTCTTGTTCAAAGAAAAGAAAAAAAAGTAATTTTTGTAGTTTTTTTTAATTTACTTTCGTTTAATTTTCAGATTTTATTTTTTTTTATTTTTTTCTTTTTTAATGTAATTTTTTATTTTTAACTTTTAAATTTTATTGTTTATTTTATTAATTCTTTTAATACATGTTTTAAAGTTGTGTTTCTCTTCTTTTAGTTTTTATTGTTAAAAAAACATTTTTATTTTCTTTTGATTTTATTAAATTTTTAGAAAACTTATTTCTAGCACATCTTTCAATTAGTATTCAACAAGTAATTTTTAGCAAAAAAACCGCCTTAAAAAAATATATATATATATTTCATGATCTAATGATCGGATCTAAACCAGATTAGTATGGGATCACCTCTGAGACACTGCCCTTCCGATGTGGCCCAAAGTTATGCGGTAACATACATAAAAAAAAAATATTCCGACGAACTGGTAACCTTCTCCTTTTTTGGAAGTCGGTTAAAAAACTAAAAAGAACCTTCAAGGGCAGTTTTTTATTTATCTTTGTGCTTTAATTAAATTTTCTGTTAACTATTAGATTTTATTGTTAGAAAACTTTTTTTTGATTTCATTTAATTTTAAGAGACTTACTTTTTATTATTATTACTTTAATATTTTTTTTTTTAAATATTTGGTTTTTATTAATTTTTTTTTTTAATTTCATAAAATTTTTAGGAACTTATTTTTTAATTTAGGTCTGTTCTTTTTTTATATTTTTATATATTTTAATTTTTAGAAAAAAATTTTGATACAATACGCTAAGACCTCCTCGTTAGCAGTTCTTACACTTAATCTTCCGAAAAAAGAAGAGGCCTTTCAAGTTAGTTGCCTGAACCGAAAATTGTTTTACAAAAGAAAGTAGTTGGTATGCAAAATATTCGTCGACAAATGTATCGAAATAAGTAAAACGCAGTGGGACCTAAAAGTATACAACATAGAAAAGTAACGGATGAAGACTGTGTGCCAAATCCGCCAGGATGAATGGCATGTTGCATGTTCTTAGGCGCGCCTTCTATTGTTTTGGATATTTTTGGCGATAAAAAGTAGCGATAGCGAATCTCGGAATCCGGCTACTGTTATCTAAATCTTACACACTAATAAAAATCTCAACACGATTTTCAAAAATATATCGGAAAAACTTGTTAAATTGAAAGAGGTTTTATAAGGAGCAAGGCACCGAAGGCATATCTACCTCAATAAAGAACTTTGTATCTATTTAGTTAAGAGTTTGGGTATTTGTATTCCCATTATAACACTTAAAGTCCAAGAAACATATGTATTGTAGTATTTATCGAAATGCACTGCATAAATAAATGTTGCAAATCTAACGGTTTCACTTTTAACGCACAGCATAGCATGGCACGCGAATTTTCCTCTCCGCAGTACATTGTCGCATTTCAGGTAAGAAATAATTACACATGCAACCATGCTAAATTATTTATTAAAGCAACATCACGATGGATGTGCGAAAAGTAATCAACTAGTGCACTACACTACAACTACACTATTGCCGGTGTCACAATGTGCATAAATATCTAATTACACACACATAAATATGTGGCATATGTATGAGAAAAATGTCAACGCCTATGATGTGCTGTCAGTCAATAAAACGCGCCAACACTACGCTTAAACAGACAGTGTTCTTGTTGACATAATCATGCCATTTTGCCAAAGACCAGATGCATCATACGAAGTGTGACATTTTCAGTGTTGAAATCAACAATTTTGCAGTGATGGAAACTAGCGCTGTACATAATTTATGGTGTGGCAAGTGCAGCTATGCATCACTTCGTAGTGAAACAGAGGGAAATATAAAAGGCGGCCAAGCAAAAAGGCATACAAGTTGTAATAATACATTGTATTGTTGAACAAACGTTACAGAAAAATTTCTGTTCTGCTTTGTGTGTAGCACAACGAAAAAGTAATATGGAAAATGTAATGGAAGCCTGTTGACAGCAGAAAGCAAATCAAATGCGAAATCAGAAAATGATTACAACAAATGACAATGGTTGCACGTTTATATTTGCTGACAACATGGTGTATATGTATGTATATTTTCTGCGCATGCTGTAGGATGGGTCTATTTGTAATGCAGGAGAGGGCAAGTGTTGGATAAAATAAAATAAATTTAGAGTAGGATAATATCTTTAATATAAACTTTCTAAATACATGTGAACCAAATTGAACTACATATAAATACATTATTTTTTTTTGGAAAAGAGGAACAAAATCTAATAGCTCGAAAACAGATAGTGAATTAAATGTAAGGGTAGTATAAAGCTATGTACATATCTTCAAAAATAGAAGTTTTCCAATTTTATTTTCTTTTACCGGAAAGCACTAAAGGCCAGTTTGCAGCTCTCAAGAAAGCGGTCAAGAAAAAATTTGCGAGCATATATTTCTCTGGCAAACATGGGTTGCCTTGTGCTCTTTTTTCACAAAAAAATTTGGAAACCCGTAGTAGAAAGTGTAGCAAACTTCTTAAGAACTGCGTACTGCCTTAAGGAAATTTGACGAAGAAAATTTCTTGACCATTTCTTGTAGGTCATTTTATGCAATTTTTAAGAAGTTCGAAATATATATTTTGACGGTTTTTGCCGCAAGAAATTCAATTTCATGTTTGCAAGAACCGAAAAACGCATTTTCACCAGGAATTTATGTAAAAAATGATTTACCTTCTGTCAATTTTCATAATAAATTCGAATAAAAAAATTAATTTTTCACTTAAATAGCTTTCGGAAAACTGGCTGTTAAAGTTATTTTTTTAAGTTCGTTACATGCTGTTTTTGAAGTAAAAAAATTAAGGGTTGGGTTTCGATCCATTTTTTTTTTTAATTTTTGTTATATTTTTTTACCTAAAAATAGCATGCAACGAACTTTAAAAGAATTTAAATTGGGGTTTTCAGTTCTTGAGACTATTTAATTGGATTTCTTTACGCAAGTAAAACTATGTATGTACATATGTGTTTCCAACTAAAAAAAAAATTATTGCATACTGTTTTCAGTTCAAAAAAACAAAAAACTTTCGTTTTTGAAGGTCATTTCAAAGGCAAGTGTTGGGCATTTTCTGCCATATAAAAATAGATCTTGATCACGCGTTATAGGGAAGAAAGCGGACGACACCCACCACAAAAAAAAATTATATAAAATCAACGGTAATTTCTAGCGACTTGAAACTTGCACTAAAATTGAACGGGCTACAAAACTGCATACTAGAAAATTTTCTGAATTTTGAAATTTTTGAAATTTTGATGAAAATTGTTTGAATTTTGTGGACTTGTATAAAGTGTGAAACTTTTTATGTTTTATGTTATAGAGCGAACTATATTTTCATAAATAATTAATAAAAAAGAATTTGCATGAAAATAATTGTGAATTTTATATTACAACAAGGTGTACACTTACATTTGACACCGACTCTATATTAGGGTATATTTATAGTGGAAATAAAGTCTACCGATATTCATTTGAAAATTAGACGCAAATAACTTTAGAGTCAACTTCATTTTGACCAAGAATATATCGCATTATATTTAGTGCCGTTTTTCAAATATCCCTCGAAATGCTCGAAGGGCGGAATAATCCTGTTTTTAGACAAAATTTCAGCGATTTGTTATTTCCGTGTACATATTTTGAAAAAGTATATAGTGCGCAGAAGTATGTGTTAAACTATACACTTATCCAAGCCTACAATACAACATGTACTGTAATAGTGATTTACGTTTACTTTAAAATGTTCTTATTTTGTTTGTGTGTGT